AGCAGGGCTCGGATCAAGATTGCCTCTCAAGTTTTTGATCTGGCGAGGTCTAGTTTCTTAGGACTTACCAAGACGTACCCAGAATCGGGTTAAGACTGAAAATCCCAAGCCAACTTGTAAACTTGGGTTTCCTATGGGAAAAACAGTTGAGATTGCTCAAGAAAATTCTGCACTGTAAAGATATCTGGGACTGGAATGTTGGGAAAAAACTAATAAAAATCGATGGAGCCCTCTACTAAGTCAGTGTTTATGCATTTAAAGGAAATGCAAAGGCAGTTTGCAAATTCCTTATCAATCCGTGTGAAACTCGAACTCTTTGAAGTTAATAGATTTGTTACTGGAGCTTTAAAATTAAAAAAATTAAAAAACGACCACTGACCCGTAATAATTATACATAAGGAAGAGTATGTTTCAATACACATATGCAGTGTATCACATTGGCGTGTCCCTTACCTTAAACATTTGTCATTTCTTTGTGTTAGGATTGATTCAATATCCTCTTTTTTTTTTTTTTTTGGCCTGTTTTAAAATGTGCAACAAATTAGTTTTGGCTAGTCGTGTCACTGCACGATAGGACACTAGAAATTACTCCTCCTATTTTCGACCTTGACAGGTAATTTCTCTCTCATCTCCCTCCGCACTAACCTTTCCCGTCCTCTGGCTGCGACTGCTGTATTTGCTACTTCTATGAACTCAACTTACTAAGGTTTTACAGTTGAATGGAAATTTTTCTGAAATATTTATCTTTCTATACCTGGATTTTTGCACTTAACATTATATCCTCCAGGTTCATCCATTTTGCCACAAATGATATTGTTCCCTTTTCTTAATGGCTGAATACTATTTAAAGATAGACAGTTTAGGTTAATTCATTCATGTTTTCATATTTATGGATTGTGATTTTTCCACTTACTTTGGGTCACTTGAATTTTAACTTTTCCATTGATTCTGTAGACAAAGATTGCTATATTTATCAGCACAACTTATATAATAATGCCTTTTCCTTGTTTGGTTGAGCCCTCCTCATAATTACTGCTGCTATGTCCATTGTGGAAACACCACTCCTTCTAACAGAATTCTTCTTCCTCCTCCTCCTCCTCCTTCTCCTTCTCCTTCTTTTTTGCCAGCAAATGACCAGTCCTGTGTTGCAAACACATCCATAAACTTCCCAAGATTTTTATCAACATAAGACCTATCGATAATATCCGGCCTCTCTCTTAGATGAACAAACACGTGAAATGCAATATATCGGTGACTGCGTCTCCTAAATATAAACAGATCAGCAGTGAGTGCAGCTATGGTCCTAGTTGCAATGCCACAGAAGAGGAGTTATTGTTGACACCTCTGAAACCAGGGGTCTCAAGGCTGATCAGTGTCCTTGGTCTGAGCTGATGTGGTCATTTAGCTGTTTCTTAGCTTTCCAAAGTTCCATATCTTCTTATGAGTGCTGTCTTGAGACTGTCTCAGACAGAAAACATATTTTAAATATTGCCTTGTCATTTCTGGAGTCCTTACTTCATTTTTTTACACACGTTGAGAATTCCATGTTGGAAATGCTTGGGACAGGAATTGCTCTGAGTTTCTGATTTTTGTCCCCCAGATTTTGGCATATGTACAGACAGACACATAATGACATCCCAAGGGTGGGACCGTAGGGGTGAAAGCATGAAGTATGTTTCTGTCGTGTGCACATGTTATTCACATTGCCTGGATCTTGTACAACGTTTTTAATGCTCCTGCATTGTGGCTGTGATCAGTTGTGTGAGTTCATTGTGGAATTTTCCATTTGTGATGTCATGTGGCTACTCAAAAACTTTTAGATTTTGGAGCACATAGAATTTCAGATTTGGGGACAATTTGGGAATCTCACATTTGTTCTCTTTTTAATTTCTCACTTTGCTCTCCCTCACACTGGTTTATTCGCAACATTTTCTGCTTTGTCTCCTGGGGTTTGTGTTCATGTGTCAATGTTAGAAATTCCTCTGCTACCCCAGTCCACCCCAAAAGACTTCATAGTTTCCCCTCAGAGCAGGAAAACTCCTAGACTTTGTTCAGATTTGTCTCCAGTTGGATGCATTTCCCCCTTTCCCCACCGCCTCTTCTCTCTTCCCCTCTTCTTCTCCCCTGCCTCTTTCTCAACGTCTCCTTCCTTCATCTCTTCTTTGATTTATTGACATCTACCACTTTCTTTAAGTACAGTTTTCAGAAATGTGTAAATTGTATTCTTTAAAAAATTTTAATACATTTGCGATATACAGTGAGTACATGAATTTTGAGAAGTTGGTGCATATGAATAGCACATTTCAATCCTTTTCACTTCTTCTCCTCTTCTCCTTCTCCCTCCATCTCTAGAGCCCCTTTCCAGTGCAAAATGGTCTGTCCCTCTGTTTCCTATCAACTATCTCTTATTTTGCCCTTTACATTATTTATATTTTGGTCGGGTGCAGTGGCACGTGCCTATAATCCCAGCACTGAGGAAGCTAAGGCAAAAACATTGCCAAAATTTCAAGACCAACCTGGTTTACATAGTTCAAGGCTAGACTGAATTATGTACTGAGACCCTGTCTCAAAAACAAATCGTTTTTTGAGTTTCTTGTGTAACTCAGCTTCATAGATTGTCTTCTCCTTTATTTGATTTGGGAATTTATTATTTTCTAAATATTGCCATGAATTTTTAAAATCCACTTAATATCTTTTTAATAATGAAAATGTTCAAAGCTTCTATTAGATCTCAGCTCAGCTTCGGCCGTGGGTTGTGCTTGTTGATGGTGTAACATTATTACAATCCCACCACCTGGACTTGGGGTGTTGCTCCCTGGAGGCAGCGCTAGCCTGCCTCCCATGCATGAGGCCCCATCCCCCGCACACTAAAGCATACTCTTACATCGCACCGTCCTAGACTTAATGGAGTCTGGGTATTAAATCTCAAGTGTGAGTTGCAACTGTTGTAAAAACCGTTTGCTACTAAAGTGAGATAACAGAGCCCCAGCGAGAGAACTTTTTGGGCTTCAGTTGTGTCTGGGCTGAGCTGGAGTCGAATTCCTATCTGGTCCTCACTTTAGTGAAATTGCTACCAACACGGCAGATACCACCTTCACTTCTGTTCACATCACTTTTGACAGAAGGGTTGTCTAATACTGAATCACTCTTGTAGATTAGGACCACACTGAAGGCTTACAGTTAGAGGGCTTAAATCCTTGGAACTGAGATTCAAACCAAGCACAGGGCAAACTGTGCTACTTTTCACCATTGAAGCCCTCGTTGAAGTGGTATCTTCTTCCCCAGGAAAGTCCTCAGATGAGGCTCATTCTTCCAGCCAAGAAGAAATTTACTAACTGTGGGGGCATTGGCCACAGGTATGTATGAGATGGATATGCAGAAGTAAGAGACTTTTGGAGCCACATGCCCAAAATGTCCTAGAACAGCTTTCCTGAAGCAAGAGGGCAGTTAAAGAAGTTAATTTCCAGTTCTGTCTGAGAGTAGAAAGGCTGATCATTTTGGAAAAAAATTTACATTTATTTTTTTAGAGTCTGAGGGTCAAAATTGTTAAGAACACGGCCCAGAGATAAATGAAGGTCATTTTCACTCTGGAAGGATCACAGAGCAGGGAAAGATCACACTGGGGGGGGGGGTCTGGAATGCAGCAGCAACAGAGAAGAAAGCTGCACCAGCGCACAAAGAACCAAATCCCAGCTCTCTCAAGGGCAGAGAGACATCCAAGACCCAAAGCTTTTTCAGAGTCGATCTCCAGTCCTTAGCAGAACATGCCTTCAAAGACAAAAGCTACAATTAACTTCAACCACATTGCCAAGCAGGAAACCAATAATCAAAGAACCTGAATGACTCCTCTTTAACTTTACTGAGAGAGGACAAGAAAGAGAGGGAAAGAAAATCACAGGACAGATTGTATTCTCTCCTATAAGCTTTATAGTTTGAGGCTCATATATGTGTGAGTTTGAGCCTTTGTAAAATATGCTGGTGGGGGTTCCTTTTTCCTGATAAACCTGTCCCAGTGTATCATAAATTGTTGACTTGACTTTTGTTGTCTTTAGCTTTCTCTTTTTTTAAAAAAAAAAATTATGTTTCCTTTTCTTTTTCTATTTTTTACCCACTTCTTATTTTCTTTTTCTATTTTTTTAAAACAAGCACAATTGGGGCCGAGGATTTAGCTCAGCGGTTTGGTGGCCTGCCTTGCAAGCGCAAGGACCCGAGTTCAATCATAAATTGTTGACTTGACTTTTGTTGTCTTTAGCTTTCTCTTTTTTTAAAAAAAAAAATTATGTTTCCTTTTCTTTTTCTATTTTTTACCCACTTCTTATTTTCTTTTTCTATTTTTTTAAAACAAGCACAATTGGGGCCGAGGATTTAGCTCAGCGGTTTGGTGGCCTGCCTTGCAAGCGCAAGGACCCGAGTTCAATCCCCAGTACCAAAAAAACCAAAAAACAACAACAACAACAACAACAACAACAACAAGTCCAATTGGCATATGGTATTATAATGTTAAGGGACTCCCTACTTCTCTTTAGGGAGTCAGGCAGAAAGGGAATCTCAGAGGCAGCTAAGGGAGGAGGAGGAGGAGGAGGAGGAGGAGGAGGAGGAGGAGGAGGAGGAGGAGGAGGAGGAGGAGGAGGAGGAGGAGGAGGAGGAGGAGGAGGAGGAGGAGGAGGAGGAGGAGGAGGAGGAGGAGGAGGAGGAGGAGGAGGAGGAGGAGGAGGAGGAGGAGGAGGAGGAGGAGGAGGAGGAGGAGGAGGAGGAGGAGGAGGAGGAGGAGGAGGAGGAGGAGGAGGAGGAGGAGGAGGAGGAGGAGGAGGAGGAGGAGGAGGAGGAGGAGGAGGAGGAGGAGGAGGAGGAGGAGGAGGAGGAGGAGGAGGATGAAGCCATTTTAGGGGCATTGCTTTTGCTGACATAGATTGAATAGTGACCCTGCAAAAATGCCAGATAGCAAGGTGTACAAGTTTTACAGGACCTAATGACTGTCTCAATTTTCTACCCACATGTTCTCAGTCCTCCTCCTCCAGGCTCCAAAGGAAACCGTGGACGTTGTTCTCGAATGACTATCAATAATTTAATAAGTTGAGGTTCAGAAACTTTACATCTCTCTGTATTTAAGAGACATTGTGAATGTTGCTTAAATTATTTTCCTCTTTGGATAAAGCTTGATCCATATCAGGCCAAAAAAAAGTAAAAGAGCAAAAAGAAGATCCAACAAACTGAGACATGTCAGCCTATCGCATGGCCACCTTTGTTCCCTCACCGGGATGAACAGTAAGAGACATCCTTGTTCTTCTTCTAGGCTTTGGGAAGTCAATCTTTTCTCAGTGAGTTGCACCAACGTATTCCTCACACGGGGCACCACCTTGTCACAGTTTATGGCCATGGCACAGCGCAGAGTTCGTGAGATTACTCAGAGGCAACATCCAACTCAAACTCCAAGGAGGCTGGGGGGCTGCCCTTAACTAAGACCCCTCAGCATGAGGGGGTCTCGTATGGAGAGCCCAGAACTAAAACCTCCGTGGCTTTCTGTGGATAGAACCTGGGAGCAAGGAAAGAGATCAGTGCAGGTATTCATGTAGGGGACAGGAGAAGATCAGGTGGCTGTTATACAACTTGCTTCGGGGCCAATCTAATTAATAAATCAGAGTATGGGGGCTGAGGGTCAGAGGATTCATTCCTAAAGGCAAGGCATTTTTATCTTATTTGGGCTTTTGGCCCTGAATGCTATCTTTAATCTCTAACCATGCATTCCAGGAGGTTTTGTGCGTGTGGCTCCAAAAGTCCCTCACCTGTGCATATCTGT